AATAATAATATATCCAAACTCTCATTTTTATTTTACCCATCTAAAGCCATTAGTAAAAGTAAAGCAGACTTCCAGGCCACAAAAGGTTTTACTTTCAATAAAGGTACGACAGGTCTGTTCCTTTATATTGCTTAGCATGCTTTGTATACATGTTTGATGCACTGTTTCATTTTGTTGGTACATGAAATGTCTATTTCTATTTCATGGATTTTTGCTGGTTGTTGTCACTCACCATCCTTTTATACTACTTCATCTATGAATGTCATAAACTAAACAAAGATGGAGGGAAACTTGGCTTTTCTTATCCAAAACAGGTCAAATGTGTTCCTCCACAAGTCATACACATCAGAATTTTCCAGCTGTTTCAGGATTTGTGCAGTATCCATGATGAGAGTGTTGAATTCTTTTTTTTTTGTATAGCATTGTTGAACGTTTTGTCTTAGCATTTGTTTCTTTTTTAAAGGAAAATGCACTTATATAGAACGGAAAATGCACTTATATAGAACATTTTATTTAAAATGTCCATGCTTTCTTGATGGGAATTAATTTTTTTCTTAAGAAAAACATTCCACAGAAAACCAGCATTAAAGGCTGTACTCTAGCTGTCCAGTTTGTATGTTGCATTCAGTAGATCCCACTTCTGGGAGGGAAAGATTCCTGTCTGAAATTTTGGAGAAACCCTGTATGTTAGTGTAGATCAGCCTTCTCATATTTGTCAGATTAAAATTCCCATCACCCTCAGTCTGCTGACATGGGATGATGAAGGTTGTAGTCCAGTACACTTTGGCAGTGGGTTGTGCATGAGTACTGTAGACATTGCTGAGCTGTATGTGCTGGAGATTTTTCATAAAAAAAAACTTTCTAAGGATTTGATTGTTCCTTTCGTTAGCAGAGTACCATGCAAAGAAACATAGAAATATGGAGAGATTAGCTCCAGTCTCCCTATGCCATCTTGCCTGCACACAAACACAAAATCTAGCTCTTGATGTAATAAAAGTTACTCTAGAAGAATTTAAGTAGAAAAGATATCTGCACTCACAGTTACCATCAGTAGTTACAATCAGAAGGAAAAAAGTAAAAAGGGGTTCTCCTTGCATGGAAAGAGCTTCCATGCCTGCTTCTTAGAGGACAGTCAGGAAAGAAGAGGGGAGGCAGTCAAAAACACCATAGTATTCTAGGTATGCAGGAAAAAGAAGCTTGCTTTTCCCCAAGTGCCAGAGGTAGGAAGAATCTTCCCATTTAAGTTAATAGCAAAGAACCATTACAATAGGCTATTAAAAAAAAAAAAAGGTCCTACTTGATACCTAGTGTTAGTGCATGCATGATTGTTCATTTCCCAACAGCCCGGACCAGCGGCCTGACATATTAAGACAACATTTTATGAATTGCCTCTGTTTTGACAAAAGAAGTAGCAGAAATAGCTATGCCTCTTTCTGTTCCCCTTCATGAAGACTGTGGTCTGAAATGAGAGAAGCTTTGAATCTTAAAAAGAAAGAAAAGGCAATGGCTCTTTTTTTAGCTTGTGCATATACTTCACTGGTGCAGTTATGTGGACTACAATAGATCAGTGTTTGCAGCAGCTGATTATGTCTCCTTATTCCAGATTCATATAGATATGGGCTGTTAGCCTGAATAGCAATTAGTTGTATGAATATGGATCACATTAGAGTGGGCTGCAGCTTTGGTATTCTACTGTAGGGTGTTTTGTGGAGAGCATTCTTTCTTTGAAGAACTAGACATGGTGAATATATACTGCTTACTAGGATGGGCTGTCAAATTCTCTTTTTAAAAAAGTATCTTTGTATTCTATACTGTTGAAGTTCAATGGCATCCATTGTAGCTCGGGCATTTTTAATTGGAGTACTGTTTCAAGTAGAAGTTGTGTGGTGGAGTAATCTGGTGATAGCAAATGACAGTCTTACACAACTAATGTTGGGAAATTGATAATTTACATAGGTTTGGTCCAGTATTCTGGACCTGAATCACAAAACCTGCCAAAGACTTACAAAGTTCGTACTTTGTAAACCTCCTTATGGTTCCGAAGTAGGAATTTCTATAGCTCCCCCCCCCAAATGGCCATACCTCTCTAAAAGGACAGGAAAACCCCTAAATAAATGTGTCCCTCGTGTATTCATTTTATTTGGAAACTTTACACAAATGGTTGGTAAATGTATAGTAGTCCCAAACTATATGCCAACACATTTCTCTCACCTTTATGGCCACTTAGTTCTATTTTTTCAAACATCATTTATTTCAAATAACTGTGATTTAATTAAGTTAATTAAGTTTACTTTTTATAGCCTCTATTTTATTATGAAGACTTCTAAAAAGGCTAATGGCCTTTTCAATGAAAGATTTCCAGTGATGAAAAGTGATGCAAGTTTGAAAAGAGCCATAGTTAGCAGACTAATGATGCTTCTTCAAATGTAATTCTGACAAGGAAAGCTAGTATATCATCTGCATTCTTTAGCAGCAGCTCAGCTGAAATAAGATTTCACTGAAAGGATTAGTTTGCCTCAGGGGTTCTCAACCTTTTGTCCTCCAGTTATTTTGGACCTAAAGGTCCCAGAAACCCCAGCCGGTAGAAAACCTATGGAAGACCAAAGGTTGAGGACTCCTAGTAGAAGCAGAAGAAACATAGAGCTGGAAGGGAGCCAACAGATCATCAAGTCCAGCCCCTGTCAAAGGGGCCCCGTGGGGAATTGAACTCCAATCTCTGGCTCTGAAGCCCAATTCCTAAACCACTGAGCTATCCAGCACTTCATAGTGTTATTTTAAGGGGGAAAGTTCAAAAATGGTCCTCAAAGTTAATTAAAGCAGAAGTGTATGATTGCTATTGTTCGAGAGATTTCTAAGCTTCCCTAATAGTATTACATGTATAATTGTAATTATGTTGCTTTCATTTCTACTTCCCTAAACATTCTGCTCTTCTTATTATATACTTCTTTTTCCAAGTACAGTGGTGCCTCGCATTACGATGTTAATTCATTCCAGCGAAATCGCTGTAGAACGAAAACGTCGTAATGCGAAAAGAAAAAACCCATTGAAATGCATTAAAACCCATTTAATGTGTTCCAAAGGGCTGTAAACTCACCGTCCAGCGAAGATCCTTCATAGGGTGGCCATTTTCGCTGCCTGTGCAGCGAGGAATCCGTCCCAGAAAACAGCGGGGGGGCATTTTGTTTACGCGGCGCATTTTGAAACTGCTGATCAGCTGTTGGAAAATTGTTGTTTTGTGAAGAATCGGTTCCCAAAGCAGGGAACCGATTCTTCGCAAAGCAAAATTCTCCCATAGGAAACATCGTTTTGCGATCACAAAAGTGATCGCAAAAAGTTAATCATAATGAGGTTTTGTCGTTAAACGGGGCAATCGTAATGTGAGACACCACTGTACTTCTTCAATTGCTGCTACCTCAGGCAAAACTAAGACTGAAATCTTACATACTGGAAACGCAGCACCTTTAGCAGCAGGGCCCAGATGTGGCAGGAATCACCTTTGATCTTACTTTCTCTCTTTGGCCTCTCCCTTCCACATGGGAATTAGACTTTTGTGGGGAAACTCTCTTTTGTCTCAACAAAGGTGCAATCAGGCATGGAAGCTGGATTACACTGGAAAGGGTCACTTCGCTGGGTGCAATCTCCTTTAAAGTAACCCTTTTGTGCACACATAATCCAGTCTGTATCACAGAAAAAGAGTAGCCCTGCTACTGGACCAAAAGGATCAGGATTGGGCACAGAGCAGGGTCAGTCTAGTTTGCAGTTTCCTGTATATTGTATGGCCAATGGAAAATAGCTCAAACCAGACTGTGCCACAACCAGTCCAATTTACTGCGAGTTTTTCAGTACCAAATCATGGCTGTTGAACTTCCCTTTCTTTTTGAAATAATAATAAAGAAGTATGAATGAGTCCTTTGCATCTGCTTATAATTCTAAAGAACCTCACCATTCAGAATTTTTGTTTAAAAGAAACAATGCATTCCAAGGCTTTCTTTTGTGATCTGAAAATAATTTTGCTAGTAGTAAAAACTTTACTGCCAAATTACTGTTTAAAAGTAGTTTTGAATTATATTCAACACTAACAAAAAATGTCATTTCCCCCTGTACCTGACATGAGAAATAATTCCCTTTTCTTTTCTGCAGCTAAATATTCTAGTTGACACTGGAAGCAGCAATTTTGCAGTTGCAGGTGCACCAAATACAGATGTGAGCTCATACTTCGACACAGAAAAGTAAGAGTCTTGGTCCCCATTCCCCTGATCAGTTCTAGGAAAAAATGTGTGGAAATAGCAGCATGCATGAGAAATAGCAGTATACTGTTAATAGCAACATAGATGGAATAATGTCTTTACAGGGATTTGAACTGTGTAGAAGGCTGAGTCTCCCTAGCTTGACGGTTGTGTATCTAAGTAGTTCTTTCCACATATCCCTGTGGAGTATACACATGCAAGACCTGCGTAACTGGGTCCCATAATATGGTTTCTAGACCTTGGAAAAGTTACTAGCATAGCTAGCGACAAGATTCTGATAGGTGTCACACACACACAGAGAGAGAGAGAGAGAGAGAGAGAGAGAGAGAGAGAGAGCCCAAAAAGGGATATTTTCCTATTGAATTTTCTCCTACCAATCATTGTCCCTTCTCCTAAATGTTATTTGAGTATCTGGACAGATCACTACTGTATAGAGCACACTGTAAAGTACAATAGAATTCCTTTTTAAATTTTTGCCACTGTGATTTTTAAGGCTTTGTCAGTGCTACATAGAGCCAGCCAGTCAGGTGTTTGTTATGCCCCCTAATATGTGTAAGTTAAGTACAAAATCTGCATTCTTGCTAAAAACAAATAATTGAAACATACAAAAACTAATAGTACATCAGTAGTTCTGATGTAGTTCATATGTGTCATTTGCCAGACACATGTCTATGATGAACAATTGAGGACACTGATAAAGGCAGATAATAAAATGTAATGATGCAGGTTGCTTCAGTGGCTGCAATTGGTTTAAAGGTTTAATGTTCCTAGGAAAGTATTCCTTTAGACAGAATCTTCCAATGTTTAAGAGCTCAAAACTTGTGACATACTTGAAATTCTAGAAGGCCTTGTTTTTGTCAATAAAATATGTTGTACTAAAATACCTTTACGTCAAGATAAAATTATAATTGTGCCATGTTCTTTACTAATTAAAGAAAATAATCTTGTAAACATGGAATGGCTATTCACGTATCACATGAAAAAAGGAATGCATCATCAAACAAGATGGCAAGAGTCTGTATATGCTAACTTATATGTGCAGATTCAAAATAAAAATGTAAACACAATTATAGTACTTTTCAGACAAGTTGGGACTGCTGCAGCAAGGTGACCTGCTCAATCTTCTGTCTGTAGATGGGCGATTTCCAGGTTCCTCGTCCTTTCTCATGTTTTGTTATTTTTAAATTTAGGATTGGATATTGTCAAAGGTTGTTAGTGTGGACCTCCTAGGTCCACACTAACCATTTAGCCGCACAACTTGTCTATTCTCATGTGGATGAAACCAGGAGGGCCAAATGTGTTGATGAATGGGAAAATCTTCCTGCCCAGCACCCTCACAACACCTTTGCTCCAACTGACTAAGCACTGTTTCCAGGGAGTTCCCAAAAAATCCACAAGTTTAAGCCCTTTGACTCTTATGTCAGCCCTCAAGGTAGGAATGCCACCACACCCACTGCCAACCCTCAAGGTAGGAATGCCACCACACCCACAAAACATACAAGCTCCTGATAGATGCTCAAGGAAAGGCCAGGCCTGGTTTTAAGTCTCACCAACCCTATCAACTTAAAATGGTTCCAACAGCTATAGAAACAGTTTTTTAAAAAAAAAGCTTTGGAGCAAATAGTCAATTGAAACTTTGAGGCAGAACCAGAGCCACAAGAAATAAGAAACCTAGCTAAATTGTTCTAAAACTTATATCTTAGCATAGCTTCATCATAATCTCAGAGCATAGGCAAAGTGCATTCCTTATATGAGGGTATCAATGAACCTAGCATTCTTTTAAGTGACAACTAAGTCAACTAAAATAATTTCTGTCCCCCTTTTTATACCCAAAGTTTTAGCTTCCAGACTCTTCCAGAGAATCTTCCAATCAAGCATTGAGTTTCCCTGAACTTTCATGAAGAGAGCAACTTCTTCCCTCTTCCCTCACTCGGCCAAAACAGTTTTCCTAATTAGTTCAGTACATGCAACATTCCCTCTAATTTTCAGCCTCACTGTGCAGGAGCCTTGCCCCGTGTGTATGCGTGGGGGCAGAGTTCCAGCCGTTCCCTCTAATTTTCAGCCTTACTGTGAAGGAGCCTTGCCCTGTGTGTATGCGTGGGGGCAGAGTTCCAGCCAAAACCAGAACTAAGTAAGGGGGAACACTGGTTGCCAGTGCACAGTCCTGATGGAGCTCTGTGCACATATGTGTGGAGCTTAGAGGGAACATTGGTACCAAGGATTAAGTCCAGCTCAGCCTTAAAGCTCGCTCACAACAATAAGACAGATATTACTGCCTTCTAGACACTAGTGGGCACTACTCCTTCTCTCAGTCAGCTTGTCCCAGGCACCAACTACAAAGTCTAATTTCTCCAGAAGAGTAACAGAGTCCACGATCCCTCATTTTTCCAATCTCTTGACAGATATCTCCATGTAAAAGATTTTGTAAAAGAAAGTACATGCAAGCCCTATGTACTCGTAGAGGCATATTGTGAACTATAATAGATGTTATAAAATGGTAAGGCTTACATGAGAAAGGATATTTAAATTACATTTATAGTATAGTGGTGCCCCGCATAGCGACAATAATCCGTGCAGCAAAAATCATCGCTATACGGATTCGTCGCTATGCGTTTAATGCGTTCCTATGGGGAAAAACTTACCTTTAAGCAAAAATCCTCCATACAGCCACCATTTTCGCTGCCCGGTAAGTGAGGAATTGGCGCGAAAACACAGCGGGCGGCCATTTTTTTACCCGGCGGCCATTTTGGATCCACCGATCAGCTGTTGGGAAATCATCGCTATGCGAAAATCGGTAAGCGAAACAGTTTACCGATCATCGCAAAGCGATATTTTCCCATTAAAAATATCACAATGTAATCGCAAAAACAATCGCAAAAAAATTGTCGCTATGTGGATTTGTTGTTAAGTGAGGCGCCCGTTAAGCAAGGCACCACTGTATATAGGAAAACCTGACATTTTCCTCTTAGAGAAAGAGATTTGGGGAGGAAGACGCAAATTATCACCTCTGAATAAGTGCTTCATTTTGCCAAAAGCTCATAACTGAAAGCTTCAGCACACACAAGTTCACTTGCCTTTTTACTTTGACAAAACACATATTGTGATTAAATGAAAAGTTGAAACGTGTGTGCAGGAGTGGGAAAGAGGAAATAAGTCTTACTGTTAGAACAGTCATTTTCTGAAAATTGTTCATATTGAAAAAGCTGAGAATTTGCTGGATATGCCTGATTTACGCAGGTATTATAACTCCATCTTATTTGGTGCAGTTTTTGGGTTGCCAAAATTTAATTCATATTTTTAGCATGAATCATAGCCCTGTTCTGGTATTGTTAACACAGAGAAAATAAATATATATAAGAAGATGGGGCATGCCAACTCTATTCCCTCCATCACCACTCTTTTCTGAAAGAAAAGCTGCTTTCTGGAGAGAAGCAGCCCGTCTGTGGAGGCACTCCATGCTGTTTGGAACACCCTATTTCCCAGCAATTTTGGATCATGTGGGAAGCCTCCTTGGATGGGGGAGGCGGTCTTCTTCAGCAAATGAAGAGATGTGACAAGAGATGTGGTGGAGGGAGGTGATACTAACATGTTTCTCCTCAGATGTTATTTTCCCTGCATTAGTAACCCCTGAATATAAGTTATGTATAGCTTTGCTTTTCACTTCTTTCTTCTTTTTCAATTTTTAGATCTAGCACATATCGATCACTGGGTATTGAGGTCACAGTTAAATATACTCAAGGAAGCTGGACTGGAACTCTTGGCACTGACGTTATTACTATGCCTAAAGGAATCAACGGCACTTACACCATCAACATTGCAACTATTTTTCAGTCTGAAAATTTTTTCTTGAAAGGCATTGAATGGCAGGGGATCCTTGGACTTGCCTACGACACCCTGGCCAAGGTAACTTGACTTCTTATCTGCTAACCCTCGGATCTGAGTTGAAAAATAAAGGCAGATGACTAATGTCAGAAGATAACCCTGAACGTTTATTTCAGATAGCTGGCCTGTCTGCTGGGGTATCCCAGTATGCTCATGTGTAGTTGCTTATGAATCAGTCTGAAGCAATATCTTACTTGTATTTGGCCATAGGTACAGTGTAGCTGTATATGCTTCAACCTTGTATACAAGTGAGGAAAGGGGCAGGGCTGTCTTAGATCAGTGGTTCTTAACCTTGGGTTACTCAGATGTTTTTGAACTGCAACTCCCAGTAAAGCTGGTGGTGAAGGCTTCTGGGAGTTGCAGTCCAAAAACAACTGAGTACCCCAAGGTTAAGAACCACTGTCTTTATCATTACATTGTACTGTATTATAGTCATAGAATCATAGAATTGTCGTAGGGTTGGAAGGGGCCTTGGAGATTTTCTAGTCCACCCCCTGCCCAAGGCAGGAGACCTCATACCATTCCAGACCTCATATCATCCCGTACAGACGGCTGTCAAATCTTTTCTTGAAAACCTCCAGCGATGGGGCACCCACAACATTGGGAGGCAAGGTTTTCCACTGCTTAATGGTTCTGCCAGGAAATTCCTCCATATTTCCAGGTTGGATCTCCCTCTGATGAGTTTCCACCCATTGGTTCTTGTCCTACCCTCAGGCGCAA